AGCATGGATGTCCAAGCTGGCTAGGGGCTTGTGTGATGAGGTATGAAGAGGGCTGGTGCACTCAAGGTGGTTTCTCAATGTTAGTTTGGCCTTGCTCTTGAATCACCTGGGGGTGATGCTTTGGGGGCATAGAGATTTGTTCTTAGAAGCTCTGTGTCTGCTCCTGGCTGATGGGAAGGAAGCCTGAGTGAGAGTCTTGCAGACACTCCCTGCATGCACAGTTTTAAGGGTTCAGAAGAACACTTGGCTCCCCAGCATGAGGATTTCTAGACTCAGACAATCTGGGTTTACATCCTAGTTCTGTTGTGTGACTGTCACCATCACACCGTGACTCTAGTTCTGTGTCTCAGTTTCCTGAAAAGCTTGAGGATCTATCACAGGTGGTTGAGAGGCTCACACAAGTTATAGGTGAAACACTCACAGCAAACAATGCCTGGCTTGCTAACGTTCTCGGAGTGCTGACTGTCCTAATTAAGATAATCTATTTAGCACCTACTGTATGCCTTTCCTGTTAGGCAACAATGAATGGGAACATGTCTTCTTTTCAAAGAACAGAAGTGGGTGGGCAGAGGCAGTCTCCTGTTGAACAGTCAAGCCAGGAGGCATGAGGAAAGATCCTTACTCAGCCTGGGCAGACAGATGTTCAGGGGCAGGAGAGGGAACCCAGGAATCCCTACCACTGACCACCATTGACTAAGCTCACAATTAAGATGGACCCTACTGCACCAGGTAATCAATGCAAGCTCTTGGAGACTTGTTGGTGAACCTGGAATGTTCCAGGGGAAGGAAAGGCTGCTAGAAAGTACAGCAAAGGCTGAGACACAGGGCCCCAAATCCAAAGTGCAGGGGACACAGCACAGTCCTTCCTAAGAAGGAAATCACGTCCACCACTGCCAAGAAGTCTGTGAGCCAGGCAGTGAGGGCAGTCACATACCACCAAGATAAGCAAAAGGAGAGGGAGGGTGACCTTCACCATCACACCTGGGCATGAGGTGGGTGAGTACACTGGGAGGAGGTCATGGGACCAGATCCAGAGCTGGCTGGCTGGGCACAGGACAGCATGCCAAGTGGGAGTCCTAGGGTAAAGGCCACCTGTAGGAACCACCTGCTCCTCTGTCTTTCAGACCCCTTCATATCAGCATTGACGCAGACATGGGACACTTATCTACAGATCCCTTTGCTCTCAGAAATTGAAAGACAAAGCAGGCGTGGGGGGGGGCAATTTTACTCCAGCAGTTGTTAGTTTTGTTCCCCAATAGCAGATCCTCTGTAAAAACTTGAGTTCAAGGATGAACACATTCCATCCCTGCCCATGCAATGCTTCCAGCCATAAAGCTAATGAAGTAATGCTATCTGCAGGAAATCAGACTCAAGCAGAGATCACCATACTCAGCAAATTAAGTCCATATCAGACAGGTCTCACTTTCCCTCTCATTTGTTGGTCCTAATCTTTATTGGTACATAAAATGCTAGATGTACAAATGACATGAAAATAGAACTGAAAACTGTGAGGAGCAAAGGGGACTAATGGGCATGGCAGGGCGGTGACGGGGAGGAGGTGGAGGTGGGAAAGGTAGATAGACATAGTGTGTGCTTGTGTGACAGATGCCTTCAGAAACCCTGTAAAATAAATAAAAGCAAAACACATTGGCTCAAGCTTTTTGATCACTTGCAGATGGACAGCTTGGCATTTTTGCTAATGACTTAGGTCAAGCATGCATCTGAGTAACCGATATGAGCTCTCTGTTTACAAGGCTATGGAGACATCTACACTCAGGACAAAGGCACTGGTCATTTACCATATTTATTATGTGGTTTGCAGAAAGTCTTTTCTTGTTAAAATCTCTCTAACAGGCATTTCACAAATCCTGCTGGTTTTGTCCGATGCCTGGAGGAGCCTCTCCCGTGCACTCACTTTTCATCTTGAGAAGTACAAAGGATCACAAGAGACAGACTTCTGTGTGTATGTGTGTGTGCCTATACACAGACACACACAAGCACACACACACACACACACACACACACACAGCCTATCTTCTTTCTAAGCTAGAGAGAAAAATATTTAATAGACTCCTGATTTATTATTCAATCAGTCAGCTCATCCCAACCATTCAAACTGATTGTGTTTAAATCTTTATAAAAAAAAAAAAAAAAAGTCTTAATGTATACGTAAAAACAGGGAGCCCAAAAGGAAGAAACTTCTTGTCATGTCATGATCTCACTGAGATTTCTGAGAGGATCACATAATTCCTTCTCAATGAAAGTGTCCCTCGTGAATACACCTCAGACACTGGCTCCCCTCCACCTCTTCCATAATTGCAGGACACATTTTTGCAGATATATTTTGACATTTCCAGTAACAGTTGTTATTAAATTGGCATTATTTTCTGTATCCACGTGATGCCTATAGTCAGTACAAAATGTGCCCATGATGTGAGGCTGGATTTTTATTTAAGAGTAAGTGTGAGTTGATATTTACAGGAGAAAGTGGAAATTTTAATCAAAATCAGGCTGCTTCCCAAAGATCTCAACAGAGATTACTGTAGAGGATTTGTTCTTTCCTCATGTGGGGCCAGAAGAGTAACAGACAGCAGGGACACCTATAAGATACATGAAGTTAGGTGGACAGAAAATATCTATTGGAGAGAGTGAGAAAAACAGGCCTAGAAGAACTCTATGGGGGAAAGGAAACATTAGGAACTTTTCTTTTGACACATGGTCTCACTGGGTAGCCCTGGCTGACCTGGAACTCACCATGTAGGCCAGGCTCTGATACATAATAATAGTGCATCTTGTGGGGAAGGTTGTGAGGGCTGGGTGTATTTAAATGTCTATAATGACTGAGTGAGGGCCATGGTTCCTACCTCTTTAAACATCTTCTTTGATCTGAGTTGGACCTTTCATTCTTTGTTCTGTTTGTTTGTTTGCTTGCTTTTTAGTGTGGCAATGGATATTTTGCCTGTTTGTATGCCCATGCTCCACATATGCACCTGGTACCGTCAGAGGCTACAGAGGGCATTGGGTCCCTCAGAACTGAAGTTCAGCTGGTTGTGGGCCACCACATGGGTGCTGAGAATCAAACTCCAGTCCTCTGGGAGAGCAACAAGTGCTCTTTACTGCTAAGCCCTATCCCCAGCCTCTCAGCTTCATCCTTAATATACTGTCCAATCTATAAAGAATTTTGGGCCACATGGACAGTCTAAAAAACTGTAAAAGTCTACAAAGACAGTTCAAAGGTTGTGCAATCAAATAAATAGCTAGATATCTTTTTGACAAAAATTTAAAAATTTAGCAGTTTTTTTTCATTAAGAGATAGAAATTGATGGTCAGTTAGTAAAGGAGATGAGGATCTGAGTTTAATCTCCAGAATCACATAAAAATGCTGGCAGGATGGTGTGAGCCTGAAATCTCAGCACTGGAAAGCACACACAGGGGGATCTCTGGCGATTACTGACTAGACAGCCTGGATGACTTGTTAAATTCCAAATAGCAGCTATTCAGAGATGTCTGCAGAAGAAGGGGGTGATGGTTGATCACAAAGAAGCAGCAGATCCTTACATAGAAGGACAGCTACACATAATGAAGTCACAATGCTGTGACACCTTTCACAAGACCTCTGCAAGCCTAAACAAGGCAGAATCCCAGCATGGAAAAGGGAGGTGGGTATGAAGTTCTACCTCTAGCTGAGAAGCTACTGGCAATTGTTGCCTTCTGGGAGATGAGGGGTTAGTTTTCTCTGAAAGTGTAGTCATGGAGGAGTCAACCACACTCCAGTGGAAGGCCACACATCAAAGAATGTTTGGACACCACAAAATAGTTCCAATGTGGGTGGTTGGGCAAAATATTGGGTGGGGAAGAAAGGGTGGATCTAGGAAGAGTTGGAGAAGAGAAAATGAATTTGATCAAAATGCATTGTACCAAATCCTTGAATAACTAACTAAATATAAAGGAAGAAAGACTAAAGGAAGAAAAGAGGTAAATGGAGCCTGAGGAATGACATTTGAGATTTCCTTCTGGCCTCCACCTACATGCACACATAATTGTACATACATGCAAATGTAAACACACACACACACACACACACAAGCAAAATACTGTAACTTCAGGTATTATAATTTTGGAAGTGTCAAGCCTCTATTAAATATATCATTTGACCTGTATTAAGTGCATCAGTTGAGCTGTTTCAGTAACAAATACAAAGCTACAATAGTCATCCACAGCAGAAAAATCTGAATTTCTGTCATGTAGAGAGAGAATAAACAATGATGCTCACCCTCATCTGCCGAGACTACATTTCTCAGAGAAGAGCTAAGCCTCATGGAACATGGATGAAAATGCATGTCAACATAGACCCACAGACATGTCTAGCTTACATACATATTTTACATGAAGAAACAAAAATAAGAAAAATGAAAGATTCTACATGACTTTTAAAACTGTCTTTAATAACTTCAAAGTAGTTTACTTCTTTTAGGATTTAAGGTTGAGGATTTTTGTAATTTCTATTGTTATTTTTCCTTAAACCATAGAAAAAGTTGATCCCCACTCTCAGGTTGACATCTTCATAAGAGTGGTCAGCCTGGGATACATAGTAAGTTCCAGGCCTTGAAATACAATATGAATTAATCTGTAAGTGAGGAAATGATGATGTTTCCTGTGGTTTTCATGAGAGTAGATAGGCTGATTGGTTGGCAGTTCAAAGCCAGTTTGCCCATTTATCATTTAACAGTTGGTGAGCTAGAATATTGACCAAAAATCACTGACAATCATATATTAATAATGAAGTATATTGGTTCTAGGCGGTGCACCAAGTCCAGAGGCAGAGGGAGTAGGAATGAGCAAGCCAAGGACCGGGGTCACGAGGCCATTGTAGGGGAGGAGCCAGCGGCTGAGGAGGTTCTAGTCTGTTCTGCCTCATGGCAGCCGCCCCCTTCTCCTCGGTCATGTTTAGCCACGCCCGGGCCTGGCCTTGGGCCTCCACAGCCTCCCACAGCTTCCAGCCTCCCGCCTCTCTACCATGGATCCCCGCAAAGTGAGCGAGCTTCGGGCCTTCGTGAAGATGTGTAAGCAGGATCCGAGCGTCCTGCACGTCGAAGAAATGCGTTTCCTGAGGGAGTGGGTGGAGAGCATGGGGGGTAAAGTACCACCTGCTACTCATAAAGCCAAGCCAGAAGACAATGTCAAGGAAGAAAAAAGAAATAATAAAACAGAGGAAAACATAAAGACGGATGAACCATCAAGTGAGGAGAGTGATCTAGAAATAGACAATGACGGTGTAATTGAGCCAGACACTGGTGCCCCTCAAGAAATGGGAGATGAAAATGCAGAGATAACTGTGGCGATGATGGATCAAGCAAATGAAAAGAAGGGCGCTGCCATTGAAGCCCTAAATGGTGGTGAGCTGCAGAAAGCAATTGATTTATTCACTGATGCCATCAAGCTAAATCCTCGTTTGGCTATTCTGTATGCCAAGAGAGCCAGTGTCTTCGTCAAATTACAGAAGCCAAATGCTGCCATTCGAGACTGTGACAGGACAGAGCCATTGAAATAAACCCTGATTCTGCTCAGCCATACAAGTGGCGAGGGAAAGCACACAGACTCCTGGGTCACTGGGAAGAAGCAGCTCATGACCTCGCCCTTGCCTGTAAGATGGATTATGACGAGGACGCCAGTGCAGTGCTGAGAGAAGTTCAGCCTCGGGCACAAAAAATTGCTGAACATGGGAGAAAGTATGAGCGCAAACGTGAAGAGCGAGAGATAAAAGAAAGAATAGAAAGGGTAAAGAAGGCTCGAGAGGAGCATGAGAGAGCCCAAAGGGAAGAAGAAGCCAGAAGACAGTCTGGAGCTCAGTTTGGCTCTTTTCCAGGTGGTTTTCCTGGGGGAATGCCTGGTAATTTTCCTGGAGGAATGCCTGGCATGGGAGGGGGCATGCCTGGAATGGCAGGAATGCCTGGACTCAATGAAATCCTCAGTGACCCAGAGGTTCTTGCGGCCATGCAGGATCCAGAAGTCATGGTGGCTTTCCAGGATGTGGCCCAGAACCCAGCAAATATGTCAAAATATCAGAGTAACCCAAAGGTTATGAATCTCATCAGTAAATTGTCAGCCAAGTTTGGAGGTCAAGCGTAATGTCATAACAATGCTGAATGAAGAGCAGCTTAGCTCACTTACTGGATGTTGCAATAATACAAACCAGTGTACCTCTGACCTCATCTGGAGAGCTGGGGTGCTTCCAAGATAATCCCTTTCTGCATCAAATGCAGCTGAAGCATTTTACAGTGGTTTGCCATTAGGGTCTTCATTCAGATAATGTTTTCCTATTAGGAATTACAAACTTAAAACAGTTTTCAACCTTACACATATTTTTTAAAAATTTAGGAGGTGTTAATTTCTACATTTTTCTTTACTAATCTTTTTGGGTTTTTCCTTTGAATAACTGGGCAAGGAAGCTGAATATGGTCGACTTACTGCTCTCATGAATGGAAATAAAGATTTGTTAGTGGGAAGCAAATAAAACCCATTTAAGTTGAAAAAAAATAATGAAGTATATTTTATTTTATAGCACAATGGGTAAGTTACATGGTTGAGTTTCGATGGTAAATGTATATTGGGGTACAAAGAAGTCCTTCACACTAGTGGATGGGCTTTGTCCGAGGTTCTGAACTAGTCTCCCTAACGTTTCTATGACCAGAAAAGTACCAATTTCTGGAATTGCTCCTTTAAAAAGATAATACAGGCAGGGAACACCTTTAATCCCAGAACCCAGAGACAGACAAAGGCAGAGCTCTTCAAATTCAAAGCCATCCTGGTCTACAAAGCAGGTTCCAGGCCAGCCTTGGCTGCATAGTGAGTCACAGTCTCAAAAAAGAAAACATCTTTAAAAAAAAAAAAAAAAGACAATACATGTAGAATGAAAACAAATAGTATTTTTAAATGTGATACTGGAGTGCTGGAGAGATGGCTCAGTATATATGTGAACATTTGTTTTTCTTACAAAGGGTCCATATTTGGTTCCCAGCACTTACCAGACACATATGGCATACATTCAACACACAGGCAAAATAGTCACACGCAAAATAAAATAATCTAAAAAAAATTTAAAGTGTTATATTGGCTGAGTCAACCCTGCAACTTTTTTTTTTTTTTTTTTTTTTTTTTTTGTCTGATGAAGGAAACTGAGAACTGTGCTAAATTTCAGTCACCAAAAGGGCACCTCTGTACATGCTGGGGGACAGTATTTTACTTGGTGTGGTCTCCTGAGAATGAAGAGAGGTGGTGTCATTAGAGGGCTGGTGTGGGAGGACGTCAGTGGTCCAGAGTCTGCTTCAGCTTAGGCTTCCTGCTCAGGGGGCCTGTCTTCCAGATCACACACCCACCCACTTTGCCTAGTGGAAGCTGAGTATAAACAGTGCCCTATGAATCCACTAACACCTGTATCCTCTGTGATCATTTCATATTAGATTCCAGCTGTTTAATGCTCCATTTAAAATACTCTCTTCCTCTAATTCCAGCCCCCTTGGAAACCATTTTCCTTAAACTGATTCTGTCTTAGCACATAGTTCACTCTCCCTCAGGAGGGAGAGCTGCCCATCTACTACTGTCCCTGTCCTCTTACGTGCGGGCACCACATTCTTCAATTTCAGATCAACTACATATTACCAATCTTTTTTCAGAAAAAGAAGAAAATCCCCTCTCCATGTCATAAAATGGCGTTGAAGTCACACACACACACACACACACACACACACACACACACACACACACCGCCACACCCCACAGTAAATAAAGCATCTCCTGCTGTGTGCTGGCATGTCCACATTTGCCCACAATTCCTTTTGCTGTATTTCGGGCTCTGGTTAGCACTTCTTGTAATCATTTATATTTTTATATACTAACTGACCTTCCCCACAAGCATTTAGACGCACCCAGATGCTTAAAACCTTACAAATTATAAACGTACAACTGTCCCTCCAGTAAGAAACTTATTTTTTCCCCACCATTCAAAAGCACATTTCTCAGGACAACTCCTCACCTATGCCTCTGCCTCTATGTCATTCCCTCCTCCACAGTCACCCTTCCCACAAAGAGGCCACCACCCTGCAAAGGAATAGCAGCAGTATCTGTTCTGAGATGCTTAATTAACTCCATCCTTCTCCTGCCTGCCGGCCAACGGCCACTCCCATCCCTTCCAGGAGCTGGTGCAGCCATTGCAGGAATCTCACCCCTCACTCCCTGCACCGCCCCCCCCCCATGGATGCTTCACTCTGCTTCCAGGCTGGGTTTCCTTTTCCTTCGTGTTGCATGATGTGAAGCTCGTTCGAGGCCTTTTCTTCACTTGGTTCTCTGTTGGACATTCTCCATCAACACACTTCTTTTGGAGGGCTGTGTTATTAAAGCTAAAATCAAGCCAGTTTCCTCCCCAGCATGAGCTGCTGCGGTGTCCTAGCAGTTTGGGGGGATTATTGTCTCTTTTTTTCTAAACATCACTGAGATTTTTTTTAACTGTAATGTTTACCATTTAGTTGTTTATATACAACCCTTTGGTGATCATTTGGACAGATTTAAAAAATTCTGCAGGGCTTTTTAACCTATCCAATCTAACCCTGCCGCTCTCCAAATCCTTTTCTGAGCTTGCCTTGGTCCTCCATGCCTTCTTCTTGTCCTCAGTGCCAGTCCTCTGCCTGGGGCTCCTCCCAGTCTTCTCAAGCTGGAGTGGAGGTTGAAGGCCTGTGGACCTCACTGTTCTAAGCACATGTGCTGGTGTGCTTGTCCCTTCTCCCTGTCCCCACTTGTTTGACTGTTTCCCAGTGGTTACCTCCAGCAAACTCAAGTCAAAAGTTCCTGTGTGTGTGTGTGTGTGTGTGTGTGTGTGTGTGTGTGTGTGCAAGTGCGTCTGCATGTGTATGCGTGTTATGTATTTCTCTACCCTTACAGACCAGAGCATCCATTAAGGAAATGCCTTCCTTCCCCAGCCTTTTGTGTATTGTGTCAGACTGTAGCACAGACCTGGTATAGGTCAAGGGGTTAAAAACATTTGCAGGGTTAGTGGCTAGATCACAGGAGAAGACTAACCCAGATCTCCTAACTATCATCTAAATTAAGAAAATGGGAAAGTAAGTAAAGCTGTGAACCCCAAGACATGAAGTTTTGTAAAGCTTCTGTTTCCCCTTCCCTCTGTCTTTTTCTTTGTCTGATTCATTTCCAGATTGCCATTAATTAATACGCCTTAAAATTCTAAGTCATCTGAAAAAGAAATGCTTGGCACTGCAGACATCCTTACTTATTCTTTCTTACCATGGGGACATTTCAAACTTTTGTCTCTTTTCATCCATTCTTTGGTCAGCTATTGAATAGCACCAGACTTTGTGTCTAAAAGGCCTGTCTAGTAGTGCCTTAGAGAAACTTCTCTACCCAAGCTGCATGGATGAGGAACAAATCCTAGTGCTGGGCTTGGAAGAATTGTGTGTGCAGGGCTCCCTACTAAGTGAGGGCACGTCCCTTCACCTTGGCTCTGTAGACACCACACTTCATTCTTGTGATCTTCCTAACAGCCTCTTTGAAGTCTTTGTTCCTCAGGCTGTAGATTATGGGGTTCAGCAGTGGAGTGACCACAGTGTAGAAGACAGAAATGACCTTGTTGATTTCTGGTGACAGGTGTGCATTTGGACGCACGTACATGGAGATCATGGTCCCATAGTAGATGGTGACCACAGCCAGGTGGGAGCCACATGTGGAAAACGTCTTCATCCTGCCGGAAGTGGAAGGGATTCTCAGAATGGAGGACACTATGGAAATGTAGGACATGAGGGTTAGAAGGAAGCAGATGCATAGCACAGCGATGGACAGGACAAAGATGGCCGTCTCCGTCACATAGACACTGGAGCAGGAAAGCTGCATTAATGGGGGAAGGTCGCAGAAGAAATGGTTGATGCGGTTGGGCCCACAGAAGTCCAGCTTAGAAATCATCAGGGAAGGCAGGAAGCCTGTGCCCACCCCTGCCGCCCAGGAGACTGTGACCAGTGCAATGCAGTTGTCAGGACTCATGAGCACAGAGTAGCGGAGTGGACTGCAGATGGCCAGGTACCGGTCATAAGCCATTGCGGCAAGGAGGAAACATTCAGTAGCACCGAAAAAGACAAAGAAGTAGAGCTGAACCATGCAGGCAGGGAAGGACAGCGTGTGGCCCCAGGAGGCCAGATTGGCCAGCAGCAGGGGCACTGTGGTGGATGTGTACCAGATCTCCAGGAAGGACAGATGTTGGAGGAAAGTGTACATGGGAGAGCGCAGGCGCGGGTCCTCACTCACCACTATGATGATCACCATGTTGCCTGTGATGGTAAGAAGATAGAAGCACAGGAAAATGGCAAAGAGGAAGGACTGCCACCCAAGAAGGTTCTGGAATCCTAAGAGCTGAAATTCAGTGACCTTGGACAGGTTTTGGGGTTCCATTTTTCTGTAAAGGCAAGGCAGAACACATTTAAAAAAAAACAGAATACACAAGGCATAAAGCATTTGCAACTTTTGATGTTAGTCATTTAGCAGTTTGAAGCTATTGCATAGTGTGTTGGTTACTTGTCGGATGAGTTTATGAGGGCTCCAAGTTTGTAGGTAGGGAGGGCGTGGTGGGACGGGCATGATGGGAATGGTATGGTGGGGAGGGAGGGCATGGCAGAAGGAGCATAAGGCAGCTATTACTGTTGTATCATCAGAGAGGAAGGAGAGAGGAGAGGGTCGTAGGGGTTGAGCATGCTGTTCAGCTTTCTCCTTTTCATTTAGTCCAAGTCTCCAGATCATGGGCAATGCTGGGAGTCCTGTCACCTAATGGACATAATCTAGATACTCCCTCCCAGACATGCCCACAGGCTTGTCTGTTTGATGATCTAGATATCAAGTTGAAAATATCACATGCAGGTTTTCAGAGGGGAAAACGTATTATTTCAACTTTCCTCTGTACAAACACATTTTGTTTATTTGGGTTTCTTTTTTCTAATTTGGCAGTACAGGATCTCACTAGGTAGTCTAGGATGGCCTGGAATCCACCTCCTGCCTGCCTCATCCAGTCATGCATTGAGATGATATGTACCCACCATCACACCCAACTTGTACCCAAACCTTGCAGTTTGTGAAATACTGAAGTCTTAGATCCAAAGACATAAGGAAAAAGACATTCATAGTAGTAGCACACACATAAGTACAGGAGACAAGCTGCCCGAGATGATGAGGAAGATGAGCAGGATGAGAGCTCTAGGCTCTCACACAAAACTAAATTCTCATACCTCAAATGTATAATGTATGTTTTATGTCAATAACACTGAAAAATCTCAGAAACTGAGGAAAACAGCAAAACTTTATTAAAATCATGACTATGTGGAAGAAAATGCTTTTCTTGTCTGCCAATCCTCTGTGTGTGTATGTGTGCATAAGCCTGTAGGTATATGTGAGCATGTGCGTGTGTGGCTGTGTATATGTGTGAGCATGTGTGAATGTATATGTACTCAGCTATCAGTTCATTTATTCCTCACTCA